TTTGCAAACTTTTAGGTAAGTTATCCCAGCTCAAAAAGATGAAGTGATTTTCCAGAGTTAGGTTTGAACAGAGCTAGGTTGACCTCTGCCTTAGGAAGCATCTTACTGATAGTCATATGAGTCTCTGAAAATCTTACCCAAAACTAGTACATGCCTGAGCATCTGTGGGAGAATAGCCTGTGCAGTAGTCAGGATCAACAGGAGCAGATGGCATACCTGAAAGCGTCAATGGAAAGAGTTTAATGGAGAGACAGAGACGGGCATAGTGCTAAGGTCTTACTTACTTCCCCTCCTTTGTAACAAGCTCCTATGGGTGCCTCCCAGTGGCCAAACCCAACAGGAAGCCGGAGGGCAAGGGAGCCCTAGTGATGAAGTGCATAGAGATCAGCCTACTGAGACCTGGAGCACAGCAGAGAGGGAGGAAAGTATATCTGAAGGAGAAAAGGAAGAAGAGGTAACACAGCTATCAGTGCAACAGAACAGATCATCCATTCAGTCACCATACCCATCTCCCCAAAATACAAGTGAATAACACAGGTAAGGTGCCTGTCCTCATGGAGGTTACTATCTGGGGGGGAGGTATTGACAGCAATCATATAAGCGAACATGAATGCAGTTTTTTTAAGACAGTGGTAAATGTCAAGAAGGCGAAATAGCATCATGGATGGAGAGTGACTGTGGCCAATAGAAAGCCTACCTTAACTCCACATCTATTCCCAAACTTCTTTCTATGTGGTTTGTGGGTAAGCCTCAAACTAGGCTGTGACTTAGAGACATCAACTGACCAGTGCCCATGAAAATGAGGGACAGGACTGGAAGAAAAGAATAACAACAGGCACTCACAATTCCCTATGATTTGTAACCTCCCCCACAAGGCCATGTGCTAACTTTTTTTACAAGCTCTCTTCTTGCTACTGTGGCGCCATCAACCCCTTTTACAAACGGGAATGCTTAAGTTCCGAAGGAATTGAGCTGCTGATTCCCTGTCCTAAGATTCCCAGCCTTGCAAGAACAGGAAAGTAGAAACCCACATTCAATTCTCTCTTCCTTACTGCACCCCAGTGCTCTTCCTTTGATGCCCTATGCAGAGAGCAGATCGTTTTTTCTCTCTCTCTCTCTGTCTCTCTCTCTCTCTCTCTCTCTCTCTCTGTCTCTCTGTCTCTCTGTCTCT